TCTTATAACTAATGACCATAACAAATGTTTGCTGTATATGGAAAGTCCCTATCTATTAGCAAACGAATCTGTCTATAGGAATGCACTTTAACCAAAGCATAGCACCGGTTTACGGTAACCAGATCATCAAATAGACTCTAGAAAGGCTCTAAAAGGAAAGACAAATTCCGGTAGTGATAAGCAGAGGACACAGTATCATTTTATTATGAAAATCGGTAAGCCGTATCTTCAAATAGCTTCAAATAAGGTAAGCCGTGAGCTTAAGGTAAGCGGTAAGCCTTAAATAAGGTAAGCAGTAAGCCGTAAGCTTCAAATAAGTAAATCTTCGCGATTTTCTCTGGGTTAACTATGAGATTTTCAAATTCTTTCTTTAATACATCCGGTACCTTATTCAAAAATACAGTAGCTCCAGTACTCCTTAAGGAAAAGATGCTTGTAAAAAGGGCAATTGACCTTCACAATTTGAAGGAAAGAGAAAGAGAAAGAGAGAGAAAGAAAGAGAAAGAAAGGCCTACCACCTGCACATAGATTACCCGTTATACACTTCGCCCCATCTTATCCTCTTTTCTCTTTTTCTTTTCTTTATTCTTTCAAGTCCCATAGAAATCTCTTGTGTTTCCTTTTTTTCTTTTTCCAATCCACGCGAAGTCCAGCGACATATTCTTAAAAAGAAAAACTCAAAAATGAGTGAGAAACAAAGAATTGTGGCGCCGGAAGGCAAAAATTGGCACCTTTGAGGGGAAAAGAGGGGAGTTTCCCAGAAGGACTCGGGTCAACATTGTAAAAAGGGAGAGGATCGAATAAAGATGGATATGATAGAAAAAGAAAAACCCGATTTTTTGAAGCGCTATTGTAATTTTAGTTTCTTTTTCTGTAGCAGAACAAGTGACTTGCAAATAGACTCCTAGAAAAAAGGGAATCTCAATGAAAAGGGATTGAGCAGAGTCATGGCTAACCGGGCTTTCAAAAGTCATGGCTAACCGGGCTAAACCAAGTCAAAATCGATGCTAGAGTAAGCTATGAAAAGCCATAAAAAGATTTCAAAAAGCATTAGAGATCGGAATTTTTGAGGTAGAGTTGTGACTGGCTTGTTGGCATTGTTGGCCTTGTTGAGGTTAAGCTGTGATCGGGTTGGGCTGGTTAGGGCTAGGACTTTTGGTCTAGGAACAGGCCTAGAAACAGGTCTAGGAACTGAACATGGATGACAAGACTGATAACTTAAAAGCCAGTAAAAAGCTATGCACTAAAAGTTCATACGGTAATCGTCAAGATTTGAGGGGGAATCAAAAGGCCGGAGAACCAAAGCTTTTGAAAAAGATTGAACTATTATTGATATTGGATTATAGAAGGGACGAGGAGGGAAAAACGATTCGAAAACGTGGATTTATTTCTCGTCTAGTAAGCAGTGTCAACACACATATGTTTTGCGCGTAATTCGAGACTTCCCACCGGGCCATCGGTAGGATTGGGCTCTTGTTGAAGAGAGCAGAATATATTGAGGAGAGCGAATGGTGACACCGAGTGCTAATCCCCTTCACCGCCCTCCATCTATCCACTCATCACATAATTCTCATAACTAATGGCCATAACAAATGTTTGCTGTATGTTTGCTTATTGCTTAAGCAATTCCCGAAAAATTTCATCGCTAGGTATAAGATTTCAGTTAAAGGAATTGTTTTGAATGTGAGAACATTTTAAATTTTAAAGCCACAACAAATTTGTGACATTCTAGAGCAAGCATAGCTGTAAAATATAATAATTATAAGGAAACTGTTGTTGATGAAAGCGTTTGTTGGTTTTAGTTATCGAATTGGCGCTGGATTTTGGCGGCTCACTTTGAAATTGGATCAATCCACCGACAAATTGCAGCATCAATCAACCTATTATAGGATGAATGCAATGTGTACTTATGAAATTAATTTTGTGCCGCAAAACAACCATAGTGATTCAATTGAGTTCTTTAAGCTTTGCTCAAGTGGGTTTTGTAGAAATACAGCCTTGAGGCAAGAATTGATTCCAAAAATTTGGGCATAGAACCAACCCAGTCACTCACTGTGAAGTCCGACCCAGTCACTCACTCCTTCCCCTTTACGGATCGGCTTGTGAAAATTTGATTTCGACAAGTCGACGGTTTTGAATGAAGTCGATGGCTTTGGATGAAGTCAATGGCTATGGATGAAGTCAATGGCTATGGATGAAGTCGATGGCTCCTTCCCCGTTTCGGATTCCGAAAGGGAACCCCTATCCGGAGGATGTGCCAGAAAGCGAGCGATTACCCGGCCACATAAAGAACACCTCGCAAATCACTTTACGGTGATTTTTCTTCTGTTCCATGATTCTCAAATAAGATTTAATGTTAAAAATGTGTGCCCTAGATCGTAGAATCTTTTGGCGGAGTTTATTTTAACCCTATAAATGTGAAAAAGAACCGAATTGGCTTTGGGTTTTGCATATGATAACTTTCATAATGAAAAGACTCGTTTTTTCCTTAAGACCTAGATTTCCCGGACCAATGGATTTGTTAATTTTTTCTAGATAAATTTAAGCAGCTAACAATCGAAAGTCAAAACAAGAATAGTTTTATTGAATAAAAGTTTTATAACTGGTTCCAATCGTGCAAATCTTTCTTTTCATCTTTATTTCCCCTTGTCGATGGTTATTTCAAGAATCCAATTGGATAGATCAAATCGAATCAAGACGATTCTCAAGTATTTGCGCCAGCTGGAAGAAGGGAAGATCTCAACAAGGCGATCAAATGGAAAATGAGGGAATAGATTGGATAATTTATCAATAACTCTTTGAAAAACAAAGTTTTACTACCTAAATAAGCAGCTCGATAATACAGTACAGGAAAATGAAATATGATATTTGAAAAACGATCGTCACTTTCGCGCGTCTGTAACTCCCTTGTCTTTGAGTTTAAACTATTAGTGTTATGCATTTTCTGAAAGCTCTTTTCAAGGGCTACACAATGGTAATATTAATATTTAGAAATACCGTATTTTTTGACGCATTTCAGCGCGCGCGAAAGTGACGATCGTTTTTCAAATATGATATTTCATTGTCCAGTACTGTAGCCACAAAAATGGCCAACTTGGCCTTGGCCAACATAGTTTTACAATAAAAATCATCAAAAACAAACCTTGGGCTCTTTCAGATTCAGACATTGTTTCATTCAATTTAGCTTTTTTTCAAAGGGTATACAGTACTGGACAATGAAATATGATATTTGAAAAACGATCGTCACTTTCGCGCGTCTGTAACTCCATTGTCTTTGAGTTTAAACTATTAGTGTTATGCATTTTCTGAAAGCTCTTTTCAAGAACTGCACAATGGTAATATTTAGAAATACGGTAAAGACAATGGAGTTACGAAAATGACGATCTTTCTTCAAATATCATATTACATTGTCCAGTAGTGTATATAAAAGCGGGAAAGAAAGAAAAATCAAAGCAAGTCAGAATTTGACAAACAATTTGCCGATCTATTGAATAGCAACGCCAGTCAAAGCAAATTACAGAGCTTGAATCAAATTTTATCGAATCAAATTCTAAACATGGATGAAATTAGGCAAATTTTCATAAATGGGACTTCATCGATGCGAGAACAATTTCCCGATTTTCCGCCAACAATTGGGGGAAAGAGGGGAAGAAATCGAGAGAATTCGCATAATTGACGGAAGTGGTCACTAAGGGTTTAAAGGGGAAAGGTGTGGGGTTGAGAAAATCCGAAAATTCTATGCAAATTGCTTCGTGAAAGGTCTGATCGTCTGAGCTGAGCAGCAAGGTTGTCAAATTTACGGCTTGCTTAAGTGTCAAGTTGTTAAACTCTCCGATAGACAACTTGGATAATCGAATCTTGTATACAGGGATTTATAGTAGAGTATGTTCCTCGCGAGTAATGCGTTTTTTTTAAGACGCACACTTGGGAAAAACTTTAGCAAAAAGCGTCTTTTAGCAAAAATTATTGCAAAAAAATGACGCAAAAATCATGAGCCCCGCATTATATACGACACTTTTTAAAGATACTCAGTTTTTTAAATGATTTGGTGACAAATTCCCCTTCAAATTTAAAGATACTCAGCCGTTTAACTGATTTCATGGGAAATTCCCGTCCAATGTAAAGATATTGAAGATTACTCGTCGTGTAAAGAGGATTACTCGTAGTTACTCGACGAAAAAAACGTCGATTAATCGAGTAAAAGATAGTCATGCAAATTTACTCGAGTAATTACTTATAATTTAACACTCTAATTTATAGGGACTCACTTCTGAGGGTCTAGCTCAGCGAGAACTCAAGGAATCCGTATGAAAGTTTTGGAGGTGATTCTTGACAACTTTTTAAGGGCATATAAAGATTCTAGAAGCACCAATCAGTTAGAAAATTGATTTGGCGACAGGAGGCGTACTCAAAAATCATCTCCAAAAATTTCATACGAATTCATTGATTTCTCGATGAGCTAGACCCGCAGAAGTGAGTCGCTATAAATCCCTGTATACAAGATTCGATTATCCAAGTTGTCTATCAGAAAGTTTAACAGTCTGACACTTGAAAAGCAACCCGTAAATTTGACAACCTTGCTGCTCAGCTCAGACGATCAGAGCTTTCATTGATTTCTCGGTGAGCTAGACCCTCAGAAGTGAGTCGCTATAAATCCCTGTATCTAATTTATTATAAAGAAATAAAGTGCAGTACGATACTATTTGCTTGTTTTATAAGTCATTTCATTCCATTTTGTACTTTCGTTTAAAACCAAAAAAAGGAAAAATGCATTAATTGAACGACTGTTTCTTCATTAGAAAGATCATTAGGTATTTTTCTTTCTGTTTCTTTCTTTCTAAGGTATTTTTCTGTATAATAGCATTTCTGTATAATAGCATTAAAAGAGAATAGGTTGAGGGCATTGCGCCCCCAATTCCTCTAATCATTCGCTTTACCGAATAGAACTGATGCAAACTCCTGCTATCCTGAGGGAAACTTCAGAGGGAACCAGCTACTAGATGGTCTTTCGATTACGCTACGATTAGTCTTTCGATTAGTCTTTCGATTAGTCTTCCAGCTACGATTAGTCTTTCGCCCCTATACGCCAGTCAGACGATCGATTTGCACGTCAGAATCGTTACGGACCTCCACCGGAGCATTAAAACCGATTTTAAATGTCTTATGTCTGGACTTTTTTTGAGAGCATAAAGTCGGGTAGTCAGAAAAGCCGCTTGATAATCCGGTTTAGACAATTTTAACTAAGGAAATTTTTATATGTGAATAGAGAAAAGATAGAGCATAAAAAGTTTTGTATATAGCTAAAATTTTCAGAGAAACTCATTCCAACCAATTCTTTCGTAAGGGTTTTTTTATGAAAAACACTTTTTTATGTTCTCACTACTCGAATTTGCTTAAAAGTCAACGAAAATTGGCCAAGAAACACTTTTTATTTGGAATAAACCATAGGTGAAATTAGTGAATTTGTTATTTTTTGTTATTTGCTAACAAAAGTACTTTCAAATACTTTCGATATGCATATGTCGTAGCCGATTATGAATGAAATTTTTTGGCTAAACTTTCTAGTAGAGCAACCCTTTAATCTATGAGGACAATATTATATCATCTTGTAGCGAATTAAATTCTGCGTCGATTGGTACCAAATTTGTGAGTTTAGGTTAAAAATTACCGGCGCTACAACGTTTCATTCAAAATCGGCGGGACCCCCATAGCCGATTATGAATGAGTCGGTCTAGGAGCGTCCAACCATCAAGTATTTGGTATCATTCAACGCAGAATCATTAATAATTATGTTAAATTTTTTAAATTAGAAAGATTGGATAAAAAGAACACAAATTATGGGGCTTCAAAGTTTTCTCTTGAAAAAAACAGTTTTTTTGCTCTAATTTTTTTTCTTTTTACCAAATCTTTCTAATTTAAAAAATTTAACATAATTATTAATGATTCTGCGTTGAATGCTACTAAATAGTTGATGGTTGGACGCTCCTAGACCCACTCATTCATAATCGGCTACGACACATACAATACAACAAAATACTTTCGAATGATTGATCAAGACCTTCAACTAATTGTAAACTGGTCTGTAAACTTGAGGATTAAAACTTGAGGATTATCTCTCTCAAGCTAAGTTTTCTCATTTTTCCATTGGCAAATCTTCTTTTAGATTATGCGAAGGCTTTTGATACCGTTTCCCATTCTCGTCTCAAAGTTCAACTGTCTACGTTAGAGTTAAACTGTCAAGTTAAACTGTCAACCGTCGATTGTAAACCGTCGATTTTATTATGAAATTTCTTGAAAACCATCAAAGGTCATTCATGGTTTTAGTTCTTGATCCCCTCTCCAATCCTTTGCCTTGTCGTGTTTAAATGGAAAGCTGGATTAGGAAACACGATCTCTCAAACAAAAGTTTGTAGAAGTTATTTTAAAACTCACCTGAATATCTTGTGCTACAATTTTTAATTAGTTTCAGTTTTTAATTAGCTATTCATCAAAGCTCTCTTTTACAGCTAAACTTATATTTTATTTGAAAATTTAGAAACGCTTCTCTTAAAGCTTGTCCCAACCACCGTAGCCATCGTGGAAACACGACAGATAATTTTTGCGATAAAATACAAGACAGTGAACAAGAGAAAGATAAAGAAAACAAACTTTTTAAGTTTAAAAATTCATTTTTGTTTTGAGCATTTCGTAAAGTTCAGTTTCTGGAATTCTGGAAAGTTCAAGTTTTTTCGATTTCTTGAGACAATCGATTCGCCAGCCTTGCCTTTTCGAACGTCACTATGCCAATTTTTTTTATGGAAAATTTTTCCACAAATTTTATTTGAATTCTACAAGTTCTACATCTTGTAAACTAGGTTTGACTTCTATAAATACCATATGACCGCCTCGTTTCAGCAGGAAAAACGACAAAGCTCGAGTGGAATTGAAGAAGAAGAGAAAGAAGAAGAAGAAGAGAAAGAAGAAGAAGATGAGGAAGAAGAAGAAGATGAGGAAGAAGAAGAAGAAGAAGAGGAAGAAGAAGAAGAAGAAGAAGAGAAAGAAGAAGAAGAAGAAGAAGAAGAGTAAGAAGAAGAAGAGGAAGAAGAAGAAGAGGAAGAAGAAGAAGAGAAAGAAGAAGAAGAAGAAGAGGAAGAAGAAGAAGAGAAAGAAGAAGAGAAAGAAGAAGAAGATGATGATGATGATGAAGAGGAAGAGGAAAAGGAAGAAGAAGAGGAAGAAGAAGAGAAAGAAGAAGAAGAAGAATTCCCATGAATGTGCTCCCTACTAGAATTTGATGAAAAGTGAATAGGAAAAGAACCCAAACGATGGACTTGGAGCGACTCAGGACTTTCTAAAACCGCTCCAGGCGACTTGAACTTTCTCAGCAAAAAAAAACAGAACTTTCCAAAGCCCAAACTCTGAACTCTGAACGCTCGAACTGTCTTTGTTTTGACTTTTTATTTAATTTTAATTTTAACTTTTAACTTTTAACATTTAAACTTTTCTTTTTGAATTTAATTTGAACAAAAGAAAGGATTAAAACAAAAAGAACAATTCTCTTTTGGTGAGAAAAATGGGCAAATTCAAAGCTCTTCTGCTGGACATTGAGGGAACGATCACTTCGATTTCGTTTGTTAAAGTAAATTCGAGTAAATTTCAATCGTTTCACAGTAAAGTTTTAGGATGAACTTTTCCCTTACGCGTACAAAAATGTGGCCAATTATTTGGACGACAATTTCGACAATCCCGACGTTCATCGATGCATTGCTGAGATGATGACTGTGAGTGGGGAATTTGATTCGAATATCTAGAAACAGATTGGGGGTTTTTTAAGTCCGGAATTTCAGCGTAAATAGAAGGAGAGGAAAAGGAAGAAGAAGAGAAAGAAGAAGAAGAAGAATTCCCATGAATGTGCTCCTAGAATTTGATGAAAAGATTCGAATATCTAGAAACAGATTGGGGGTTTTTTAAGTCCGGAATTTCAGCATAAATAGATAACAAAGCTTTTAAACTATTTTTGAAAAGAAATTGAAAAGAAATTAAAAAGAAATTGAAAAGAATTTGAAAAGAAATTTGACAAAAAGCTTTTTAAATTTTTAGGCTTCAGTGGAGGAGGCGATGAGCGACGAAAAAGTGAAAGTGATTCGGTAGGAGTTGAAATTGAAAAAACAAATGAAAATGAACACAAATTTGGCTAGTATTGAAAAATTTAGTAAATACTTTCAGAATTTCTTAGTGGATTCAAAAAAATGATGCTAAGAAGGGAAAGATGATTGGATCTCATGGGCTTTTCCGATGATATCTAAGCCATTTGACGAAGAATTTTGATGATGATTCCAATCATGCTAAAATTAGCTTCCGAATGGCGCCTAATCACCACTAAGCTGGGTTAAAGATTTTGAGCCTCTTGTTTTGAGCCTCTTGTTTTGAGCCTCTTGTTTTGAGCCTCTTGTTTTGAGCCTCTTGTTTTGAGCCTCTTGTTTTGAGCCTCTTGTTTTGAGCCTCTTGTTTTGAGCCTCTTGTTTTGAGCCTCTTGTTTTGAGCCTCTTGTTTTGAGCCTCTTGTTTTGAGCCTCTTGTTTTGAGCCTCCGATTTTGAGCCTCCGATTTTGAGCCTCCGATTTTGAGCCTCCGATTTTGAGCCTCCGATTTTGAGCCTCCGATTTTGAGCCTCCGATTTTGAGCCTCCGATTTTGAGCCTCCGATTTTGAGCCTCCGATTTTGAGCCTCCGATTTTGAGCCTCCGATTTTGAGCCTCCGATTTTGAGCCTCCGGTTTTGAGCCTCCGGTTTTGAGCCTCCGGTTTTGAGCCTCTCGTTTTGAGTCTCTCGTTTTGAGTCTCTCGTTTTGAGCCTCTCGTTTTGAGACTCTCGTCTTGAGCCTCTCGTTTTGAGCCTCCGGTTTTGAGCCTCTCGCTTTAAGCCTCTCGGCCTCTCGTTTCGAGCCTCGTTTTTTTACAACACAAGCCGTTCATCGATGGCCTATTGGTTGAGTGCTTCGACAGTTTGGCGGTGATTACTCGCCATTCGGAAGCTAATTTTTACATCATAGCGTAAAAGTCTGCCTTCAAATGGTTTAGATATCATCGGAAAAGCCGACGAAATCCAATCATCTTTCCCTTGTAAGTATTCCTAAAATCCATCAAAGTTTCAGCTCAGAAATAAAAGAAGAAACGATCTCTGATGTGGTCGAGAATGTGAGATATTGGATCGATATTGACAAGAAAGTAAGTACAAATTATAAACTATAAAAATGACAAACTGTCACACACAAAAACACTTCTAAATTGCTTCAAATCTATGGGATTCATTTCATCTATAGCTCAAAAGATAGGGAATCTCAAAAGCTTTTGAATGAACTAAGGCACACTCAAAAATAATAAAGTTACAGTGGTTTTTAGTCCCACGAAACGGACCGTGCTAGTTAAAGCTATTTAAATTCTTTAGATCACTTCAATGAAAACCTTGCAAGGATTGATTTGGGAGTATGCCTACAAAAGTGGAGCCGTTAAGGGACAGTGAGGCTTTGGAAAAACCTATATCATTAGCATTTTTATCAGTTTTCATTCCCATTTTATTTTTTTAGCCTCTATCCTGATGTGGTTTCAAATCTGAGGAAAGTCCACGAAACAAACCGACCAATTTACATCTACTCATCGGGGTCCGTTTATGCCCAGAAATTGCTCTTTCAGAATTCGATCGAAGGAGATATTACTGAAGTAAGAAAGATTGATGAAAAACCAAAAATTTTGCTAGATTTGGCTAAATTTGGCTAAATACAGCCGGCGGGATTGAACCGCTGGCCTCTCGCCTAGACACCGATCATACAAGGCTCTTAGCCACTCGGCTATAGCGCTATTGCTCTTTCAGAATTCGATCGAAGGAGATATTACTGAAGTGAGAAAGATTGATAAAAACAAAAAAATTTGGCTAAATTTGGCTAAATACAGCCGGCGGGATTGAACCGATGGCCTCCCGCCTAAGAAACCGACTGTCATACAAGGCTCTTAGCCACTCGGCTATGGCCCCTTCAAAACCCACCATCAAAAAAAACCGTTTTCAGTTGCTATCCGGCTATTTCGATACTCATATCGGCCTCAAAGGAGACTCGGAGAGTTACAGGAAAATCGCTCACCAAATTCGACAAGCACCAGCTGATATCCTCTTCTTGACGGACATTGAAGCTGGTCAGGAATATCGAATTTTAAATAGTTATTCTTTATTAGTTGTAAAGAGACAAATAACATGTGCCATATACTAACCAACGTAGAATTTTGCGCTGATTCCGAATCTGCTTTCTGTTTTTGCAACGCAGTACTCTGTCAAAAGTTATAAGCGCTCAAAGTTTTGTGTGGAATCCAGAAAACAGATCCTGAGCTTATAAGCTGACTTACGACGAGGCGATGTCGCGCTGGCCGAGTGGTAGTGGGCTTGAATACAAAGCAAAGACCATTGGGGAGGCTAGGGTTCGATTCCGACCTTGGCTTTGCTTTTGCTTCTTTTAGCTTTGAGTGGTTTGAGTGTTTTAGCAATTTTGGACGGTGATCATTGGCTTCATGTATACGCTGTGCCAGATGCTGTACGATTGTGCATAGAGAACACTCAAACCATTCAAAGAAGCAAAAACAAAAGTCAAACGGCTGACTCGAACGCTAGAGTTCTTGCTTCGTATTCAAGACTTTGAGCGCTTATAACTTTTGACAGAGTACTGCGTTGCAAAAACAGAAAGCAGATTCCGAATCAGCGCAAAATTCTACGTTGGTTAGTATATGGCTCATGTCAATTGGCCATCACATCCTGTTCACATTCCTTTGTTAGACAAGTCCGAGCACTTTAAATGAGTAGTTCGTTTTGAAGGTCCATAACTTTGTTTAGAGATAGTATTATGGTTAAATTTTTTATGTCATTGTTTAGAGGAGACTTTAGGCTTTAGAATGATACCAAATAGAGTTTGATTGGCGCAGAAAATCAAAGCCAACTTTGACTCTTTTAAAATGTTCGGATTTCAGCCAAGAGCTATCTTACAGATAATTTGATCAGGAAAAAGGTTAAAATCTTGCTTACTCAATTCCCATTTTCAGAGGCTCGCGCCGCTCACAACGCTGGTTTTGCCGTTCATTTGGTGGTGAGGCCAGGAAATGGATTGTTGAGTGAAGAGGCGAGGAAAGTGTTTACTGTGATTCAAGGCCTTGATGAGATTTTGGAAGACTGAGATTTTGCGTGTGATATTCTGGTTGTGACTCTGTTGCTCAATAAATGTAACTTGTGAAATCGTTTTCGAAAAAGTGCTAAACGGCCGTAGAACTCGCAGTTTATAAGTATTGGGTTGGTGAATTGAAAACCGCCGGCTATTGTCATATGTGACAGTTCTCACACTTTCTTCAAAAGAAACCCATTTTGGTGTCAATGGAAAAGTTGTAGCGAATCAAAAATCAAGCTTATATCCAAATTTTCAGAACGATTCAAAAACTGATTTTCAAGAAATCCCAATTTTACGAATTTTTGACAAAACTTGCATTTTAAGCGAAACTACTAAGTGTATCTTTTTGGAAATTTGGCTATAAGCCTAATTTTTTATTCTCTACAACTTTTCCATTGACACCAAAATGGGTTTCTTTTGAAGAAAGTGCTCAAACTGGGCTGGCAGCTGACATCTCCAGTCCTCCATTTTTGAGTCTCACACTTGTCTCACACACAAACCAAAATCCTACTAAGTAAAATTTTATTGAAAGTAGACTTTTTCGATAACTTTTAGAACCCAGCAAATCTCAATAGAAAGACAATTTTGTCATCTCTTTTATGACAGAAAGCCAGCTCTTGTATGACAATTCACCAGCACAAAAAAAGAATGACAAGATTTTTTTTTGTTAAATTTAAATGTTAAATTTTTCTCTTCTAGTCTTTTTCACAAAATAAACCTTTTTTTAGCTTTTAGCTTTTAGCTTTTAGCTAAAGAAAACTCGAAAACCCTGTAAAATTTATTTTTCCACAAGATCAAGAAGAAAATGACATTAGATAAGGCTTTTGTAATAAACTGAAGAACTTTAAGCATCACAATAAAATCGAAAAGGAAAGGTACCCTTAA